CCATTAGCCGTGAGCATCAAGAGCATCAGAAACGCTTGAGCCACAAAAAAATTGTTGAGCGCTACGTAACGCATCATGGGCATCAGAGCGGATATCTTGAGCCATGTACCTGGGCAGGGTTAAGGATTTAGGGTCTTTAGGGTGCTTAGGGTCTTTACGGTTTTGTTAGAAATTATCGTGGGCGTTTTAACATGCACACATACATAATACGTACGTACTTACGTACGCACATACGTACAGACATACATATGACATACATAAGAGGTAGTTGTACACTTTGCGAAGACCCTCGAATCCCTGAAAGCTGAAGCCTGTTCGAATGGGTCTGGGCTCGGAGCTTAAAGTTCGGGTTTACGGTTGGGAGCTGGGGGTTTGACTTTGCGGTTTGGTTGCGGTTAAAACTTTGTTGTGTTGAAGAGATTTGAAGCTGAAGTGTGCCTCAGAGCCCCAATCCTGGAATCGCTGTAACCCTAAACCCTAAATTTAACCCTAAACCCTAAACCCTGGGATCCTTAATCCAATAACCACCCTCTGTGTCCTATGTGATCTTCGACGATCGAGCGGTGGCCTGTTGGGCCGCGACCTCATTTTCTCGGACTGCCTGGAAGCTCGACGGTAGCCCTAAAAGCCACCTTTGCAGCAAACGCTCTTCAGCAGTCCTTCGGTCTGTACATCGCAAAGTCTTCATAAGATGCTTAAGAGCATCCTCGTCCATCCACGTAGCGTAGCAGTGAGGGTTTGTATAACCATCTCTCACAAACAAGTGGTGCAACAAGTGGAGTTTTGGCCGTATGCGGTACAATCTTTTCTGTGCTTCAATGGCCTTTTGGGCCAAAGCTAAAAAGCATCTCAAGAACAACATGCCAGCTTCGCGGACATTCCGCTTCTCATCGTCATTCAGCCAACGGGTTCCATTATTCGACCACAGTGTAATGCAATGATTGCTGGCCCAAAGAGCCAGCACCAAGTCTCCATCCAAGCCCGGGTCTGCAACGGAACTGATTTCATGCAGCACCCATTGCTGCACGATGTAGGTGTCGAAGCCAGAACTTTTCCTGGGGCGGGGTGTTTATAGAAGAATCTATGCAAAGTATATGTTTAAATATNNATATTATTGCAACCACGGTTCAGCTCTGGGTACTTTGTAGATGACCAGTTCAGTTTCTTCTTCGTCAGCTTTTTCATGCGAAGGTTCAGCTTGTTCTGTTTCGCATACAGCTTAAGCCGACGTGTAGCTTCAGCCAGCCCAGGCTCGATGGTTCGCACACCAAAAAAGCCGGCTTGAACCATTTCAACCAAAGCTGACCCCAGGAGATCTCTCCCACAGCCCAGGTGATAGGCGTGCAGGATGTCAGGAAAAATTTGTTGTAGACGAAATCCCGACAAACTGTGATAAGCTGGTCGCAGGGCCCAGGGCTCTTCTGCAAAAAGCGTCTGCATGTAGGGTGCAGTACGTATGTTTGTAAATACGTATGTCTCATCTGCGGCGCCCTTTGTCGCGTTGCACATCCAGCATATCTTGAGGGGGCATATTACAATTGAGGAGCGGGACAAGTTTATAGCTACATTGGGTTCCCCTTATTCGCTGTCTTTAAATTGTGTGATCGAAGGTACATGAGTTTATGGTTGTGTTTTTACTTTAACCCCACTCGGTCCTGCCTCGTCGCGATCGGCATATCGATTGAAGTTGAAAGCTTGGCGAAGTGCTTTCCAGTCGCCACGAAAGCCAGTCAC